CCCCCCCGATCAGGAACGTGGTGCAGTGGCATTGTATGAGTCCATTCCTAAGAACGATTCATTCAAATTCCTACGGTCCTGGTACATTTTGCGCAACTCTGAAATAAAAAAGGGGGGCTTGGCGCACCTCCAATGAAAAGCGACAAGGCAGCAAACGCTCAGCATCCGTGCGCGATCGGAACAGTTCTTCAATTGCCTCCCTTAATTTAAGCGAACGATCTCCTCCTGCTGAAACTGTTCGGGTCCAAAACGAATCTGAAGAGCCGAGACAAGGCGTTACCCGAGCAAAACTTGACCGGGCAAATCAAGCTTTGTATGCACGCCAAGTCAAAGTAGCAGAACGCGCTGCAGAAAATGTCGAAAAGCGCATTAGAGTTGCCCAGGAACAGCTCGATCTGAGCTTATTTACTGCGCAGGCGGCGCCGAACGACCCCCTCGCAGCTGAATAATTGACGTTGAAAAAGCAAGCTGTCCTAAAACGACTTCGTCTTGAAGCTTTGAGTGAGCCGTCATGGTCATCGATTTCTTTAGCTGCACCAATGAAGACGGGCAAAGATGTATCGTCAACGGTGACGCGGTCGGCAACCGCAGCAACGCTATAGCTCAACGCGCCGTCGACCAAGCACACACGGCAGTCGCATCGTCTGATGCAGCAAGTACTGCTCTTAGCGAGTCGGACATTACAAGCATTACCGTAGCGTAAATGCTCGTGCACTGAAAGATTTCTTTGAAGAGCTACTAAATTATCATAAATAAATTCTTTGATTAATATCTTCGCTTTTTTTAATGTTGTAAATGGAAAATATATATGGTCGAATTTATTTAAGAGTTCCGTGTACCTCACCTGCCAAAGGTGCTCGATTAAATCGTCGCGGTGCCGTGCATGGGCACGTGCATTCCGTAGCTTCGAAGTGTGGACAATCAATTGCTCGATAGTGTAGTGACCCGAAGCACGAGCCGGTCGCGATACTGTAAATTCCAGAAGTCCCCCAGGCTGATTACGAACATCAAATAGAAAGTCGATTCGATCTGAATCACGTAAATGACGTTCATCTTCCACAATCATGTTGTGCATGATGATGTATGCATGCATCACTTTGTCCATTTTAGCAGTGCTCCAAAGTTCACATGGCGTATCAAGAATCCTCCACCGCGTTTGAATCACTCTGAAGGTCCGTTCTACATCTTTCCGACAACCGTTTTGATGCTTTGAGTAGTTCTTGCGCTTTTTATCTATCCGGTTCTCGATTGACTTTGCAAATACCGACCATTCAGGATAAATTCCATCCGCCAGCATGTAGGGTGGATCATAAGAGTTACCCTTAAGATAACATTTTGAATATGTTTTCTTTTCGCTCACAATATGAATATTTTACACGTACTATTGACAGTACTCGTGACTTGCAGTGCTTCGCCTCGAACCGTGCTGTCAAAGAGTGAGGACTGCTCTAAAATAAAAATGTCGTTCAAAGAACCAGGAGAACCGAATTTGTAATGCCAAATTCGCAAGTCATAGTCCGCGACTGCCTCAAGGGCTATTGTAGGCTTCTTTTTCTTTCCTTTGTGTTGGCCGGCCAGAGCCATTAGGCAATTCTTCCATACCCGATGCATACAGTCGATCAAGCCGACCATTCCAGGAAAGTCGCGTCGTTCGTTCTGTTTAAGAAGACGTTCTAGTTCCTGCGTACGTGGTGGACGCAAAAACTCATCACCGAAAACAGCAATAACTGCATCACAAAAGTGACCGATGCACTGACTGGCTGTAGGTCCAGCAATATTTAAGTTTTTATCAATAGCATCAAGAGATGAAGAGTATGCAAGAACCCTTAGCGCGGCCGTGATCTTCGGGAAACTGGATATTCCCACTAGACCCGCTGCATTTTGCTTCTGAACAAAGTAAGGGTCGTGATTCGTTACACCAATTGCAATCAAAAACAAGCGTCTTGATATTCGATACCGCCTCCGGAAAGCAGCCTATTCAAATATGGGGTCAGGACCAAATTAATGTTGGAGCAATCGAGTGTGCCACCCATGCCAGTCTCGACGCTTGTTTGGAGAGCGTCCTGGCACCGATCCACCGTGTTTACGTTTTATATTTGCTCTTGGTGGCCGTAGTTGATACAGTATATTGAATACAGTTTCTTCTTCCTCGTCCTCTTCAAGCAGAGCTTGTACGAATTGCATTGCTCGATGACAGTCTTCGACGTGCTCAATTGGCAACAAATAGCAGTATTGGTAGAATCTCGCTCAAACTAAATATAACATTGGCCTTTCTTTGGGTTTATCCCGAAAATAGGGTAGTAGCACTGGTGAAGATGCTCTTAGGAGGTAGCGCTTCGAGAAGGTGCGCCGTGTTCTCATGACACTTTGTTGCATCTTCAACAATATTATCGGGTGGCACTCTCTGTTCACGTTTGGGGAAATGTGTTCGTGCTCAGTCAGGTTGTTCCCCGTGATTTGGTGGTCAGTTAGTGCACCAAGCTAGTATCCTTGGGCTCCTTCTCGGGTTGGCTCTTCTTGTTCACGATTGGAGAAGAACTCTCCTGGTTTGCTAGGTTGCCTCCTGTGCTTTTGCTGTCTTTTGGTGCGTTGTGGTAGAGATCTCAATCGATGACAAGCAATGGAGAGTTAGTTTTTGTCTAAAGGAGACTGTAATATCTAGAGCTTCCCGGGCAACTCACGGCATTAGTTTTTCTATAGAAGCCTTCGGGTATTCTTTTGCTTTAGGAGCCTTCCGTAGTGATATTTGTTCATAACGTTCATCCGTGACCGAAAATAAAAAAGGCAGACCGAATGTAGTGATGGCGTATCGAGTTTGAGCTAGCAAAGCCTTCTGCGTGACCAAGAAGAATTATTCCTCCAGCGCCAACAAAAGGTAATCCATATCATCTCTAGAGTTCGACGATCTGACAACCCTTTTAAGTGCACCCCTAACAGGACAACTAGATTGCTAACACCGATGAGGTCATTAAAACGCTGCCAGTTATCAAACACGCTGATAGAGAAGTGCATCATACATGTACCTATACGGCGACGATGCCGTGAGCAGTGTATTCGCACGTACTACAGAATGGCGAAAGACGACTTTCATTTTGAGGATATCGATACTATGATGATAAACGGAGTATTATTTTTTATGACGGAGAAAAACATGTTGTACTGGATTTTGTATTGAGCAAATTCAGGAGATCCCGAAATCAATAGTTTCATCATTTGTCGCGCCATATCAATTAATGGAGAATCTGTTCTGGGAGTTGCCCTGAATTCGCAAAAACACACTTTAACAGCAAAAGCTCTCCAACCGCAGTTTGCGCGATTGTGTTTGTCACGCCATTTTGTGTCGCACACAAAAGAAGCCAGCCAGCTGCCAATCTCTGCCGTCATCTCGACGCCGACAAGTATAAAGCGAAAGTCGCCTTCTCTCAGACCCGAGAGCCCTACCTTCGTACTTGTCGACGCATTACACAGAGCCCGAATCATGCCCCGTGGTGAGGAGAACTATCGCAACATGGACGCACAGCAGCAGTTCGACCAACGCCGTGCGGACGACCAGGCGCGGCAAGACGCTCTGCTGGACCAAATCCACGGTGGCGTCGTGGGTCTCAAGAACCAGGCGCACGCTATTAACGGGGAAGTTGTGGAGCAGAACATCATGATTGACGACATTGGCAACGTACGCTTTACAGTTGTGGAGAGTTTTGTGGCGGCAGGGACAATGGAAACTAACAATTCTTTGGCACACGATTGTTGCTGTTGCAGCGAATGGACAATGCAACTCGGGACATTGCACGGGAAGAGCAAGCGGCACGGGAGGTCAACGCCCGCAAAAAGAAGGCAAGTTTTTGATACACGTGCCACAAAATGCTAAGCTTTGGAGTTTAGGCAACTGACCTTTTACTGTTTGCAGGCTTGCAAGTTATACGGTGTTATCGCGGTATTGGTGGTGATTCTGATCATCGTGTTTGTGATTCCGTCGCCCAACTAAGCGATCAGGTGCAATTCTACCATCACTCCGTCTGCTTTCCAGTGTTCGCCGCGGATCTCGTTGACTATGAGCAAATATCTGCCACAGCACAAAGCGACAATATGTCTGGGAATTGTACACATAATACAACAGCTCCACGTCACAAAACTCCAGAAAATACTTTTTGTTAACGTTAAAACGCGGCCGTGGAGACCGCAGGTTGACATGCAGCGGCTCTCTAAGTCTACAATACCACGGCAAGAGCCACCGCAGTTACAAGGCCCATTGTCACGCTGCTGATAGTCGCCATCGAGGCGCCGGCAGTTAGCACGGCGCTCTCCGACGAGTCGTCCTCGTCGTCATCAGGGGGCAAGCCGCCTGTGGTGGGCCC